TTTATAACTTTGATAAAGTTCCGAAAAGGGGGTCACCGATATGAGGCATGGGGGAGGGAGGGAGATACGTGACACACCTAAATCATACAAGTTAGTTATAAATGTATGTATACATATTCTTCTCCCACCCTCCAGAATCCTTGAAACAACACACAAAATTCAATTAGATATATTACACCCCCCCCCCCCCGTAGCACGAGCCCTCTCTTCCGCTCCCTCTGTTTTGTACCGCGCGATAAATCCGCGAGCAAACGATAATATATACCGAAAGTATGTTATGTATGGACGCGTTCTTTGATTCATCAGTGTTTACGGTTGATCCATTAAAAAAAAAAAATAATAAAATAATCGCACCCGTATCGCCCAATAAATTATACCCGAGTTATCAACGTAGGGGCGCACGGGAATCTCGCAGCGTTGGATCGTCAAACTCGCGACCTTTTAATAAGCGAAGCGAGCCTCGGTCGAGTACAATAGGGTATGGCTGGCTGCTTATGACTCTTTTTTGATCGTCACCTGTACGTATATATACAACATCGTGCATCGCTGTTAACAACAAAGGGTGGGAAGCGGGTGGTTGTTGTTTTGCTCGGCTCTTGGCGAGGTCGATGAGGAATTAAATTGCGCTTCTTCAAAAGTTGGGCGTTGAAGTATATATTCCTCCCTCATCGTCACGCGAGAAGTTTAATGAATTTCTCAAGTACTTGGTCGATTGTTTTTGACTCCGCGTAACGTATATTGTATACGCGATACCTAACGATAAAGGTTAATTATCTTTATCTCGAGGGTGCATGTATTGCGAATTTTCGGTAATAGCTTTTGTATTTTCCATCAACTGGTTGATGCCCATGTTTTCAATTTTAATACCGACTACCTTCGCTACGCGTGTGGGTTATAATATCCGTGCATTAAAATACCGATTGATCATTCGCAGGTAAAATCAAGTGCGTTTGCGTCACTGCTCGTTTATTCGCGTATCGACAAACTATGCGTATACGTACAATATTAATTACTCGTGACTGCCGATATTTCCAAAATTTCAATCCGATTTTGCATCCGATGGCTGCCATCGAATTCGACGTCCATTTCTTGCTCGTACATACCTCTGACATTTACTTTTTACTCGGGTAAAAATTGAAATACATTATTCCCAAATTATTGGCACTTTCGAGTTTTGTCCCCCAAGTATGATGCACTCGTCCCGAAAAAAGGGGTAAACAAACTCGAGATGCACCCCTTTGTAGATGCGAAACTCGAAATTTCTCAGCGCCACGCACCGGATGATCAACCCGAGCAGTATAACCCCCTTCGTCCGGGCAATTAAGGCGCGCGCCCGGCCATCACCACCGCGGATAAAATGACGGCTCGAAACGGGAGCCCCCTGGTCTGGCCGCCCCCGTAATTGCAGGGCCAGGGGGCAAAAGCTCCTGCCGGGCGCGGCGTCGCTTCGGCTTTCCCCGGGTACTTTTTGGAAATTTCAGCTGCAATTATTCCCGGCCGGGGCGTGAAAAATTTCGCCGAAACCGTTTAATCAAAGGCCGAATTAATGAAACGTCGAGGGAGCGCAATTTGTTAAGCCGTACCTACGGATGATACAGAAAGCACGAAAAAAAAAAAAAAAAAAAAAATAGAGTCGACGCTATCAGCTCATTATCTCGGCGCTCCCTCCCTGAAATTATCTCCGTGACTTTTATGCTGGAAATTAATCTCGCGACTTTGGGGGGAAGGGGGTTGGGTGAATTTATTGCTTCGAATTAATTCTCATTACGCGTTATGTAACTCCGGACGTGACTGAAAAGCCTCATCAACCTACATTCCGTATCCTGTCTCTCTCTCTCTCTTCCCCGATCCATCAAAATTAACTAAAAACCAGAGAGCACCAATAATAGGTATTCCCCTGTCGTGGGAAAGATAAATAAAAAACTGCACTCGATTTGGGGATGCGTTTGGCCTTTAAAACTCCCCGGGAAACAGGGCCATCGTTTATTTTTTACCCTCTGCGATTATTAAAGCCGACCTCATCGGTCGCTTCCTCGCGGTGCGCGTGTGCATGCACGTACACGATACGCGGAGTTGGCTCGCGGTCTATCGCTGCTCTGCCTGTACACACTCGCAAAATTTCACTTTAAATTGCGTGTACGACCGCGCAATATTCCGAAGGTTCGGCCGATGTGGGCCATATCTGCTGTCAACGCTCTTTAGAATGCGCTACTGCGTGCATGAGTATTTTTTTTTTTTCCGTTCCTGGTATGCAGTTGTACGAGTAAAGTATTTGCTCCAAGGGCTTTACGAATAAATTGGACGACATCGTGTCATTTCTCTCTCTCTCTCTCTATTGGTGTATCTTTGACTAGGTTCGATGTTTTTTTAGGTTTTTAGAGATTTTGCGAGATTTTTTTTTTTTTTTATCTGCGTCCTCTACGTACACATTGACGATGACTCGGATGACGTTTGTTTTCATTTCAAGGAATTTCCTTGCTACGCCACAAAATTGTACAACAATACAGACTGGAAAATCCAGAAGAGATGTTCAAAGTACGGCATTTGTATATGTATAGCGTTTGCGTTTTCTTTTTCATCTCGCTACATTTGCATACGATGCGCGCACGCCTACGTTCACTTTCTCCCTCGTCGAATACATAAAATTACGCAAAACCGAATAATGCTCTCATATAAAATGCATTAGACTCGACGAAAAAAGTAAGAAAGAGGAATATAACACCCTCCCCCGGCTATAGAATCCGAATTTCGATTCAAGGAGCCTCGGGAAGCGTCCTCATGTTAATCAATTTTCAATCGGCGGTCCGTCGCTGCAGTCCCACCACCTCGACTTTATATTCCCCCCCGTGGTCCTTTGAAGGGAAACAGAGAGTGGGCGGGGTGAGGAAAAAAAAAAACTTGGTCTCTCCGACAATCCCTTTCTATGGCTGTCGCTGCCCATTTTCATTACAAAACTCGTGGGGGCCGAGGGCTTCCACTGCAGAAATTTCTCTTTTTGCCATCGTCAGTGTGTACAGTAGCCCCAGCCCTTTCTGATTCAAATGAGAATTGAAATTCAAATTTGAATCCGAATGATGCGCTCTCGTGTCCTCTTTGGCTGACCCTCTACTGTGGAGGCCGCGAAAGTTGACGGAGGGGATGGAGACGAGTGATAGAACCACGCGTTGCCGCGTCGAAGGTGACGCCTGTCGTGTTTTTGATTTATGCGAGATCGAGCGAGGGCCGAAATTACGGAGGGAGGACTGAAATTGGCCCTTCGGCCCGACGCTTCGCTGTACACCGTGCCATTACCCGGATGCGTTTGCTAATAATGCAAATTGACGCGTGCGCTTTTGCTCTCTCCTACGTGTATACCGTCAGCGTTGATACACCCCCCTTGACTATGTGCTCGATTATTTATTCCTCGAGCACTTGAAGCGCACGTAGAGCTTTCCAACAATCTGTACTCGAACGCCCTCACGGTCCATTTGTTTTGTCGTTAACATATTTTGAACACCTCCCGATGGATAAGTCCCTGGGAAACAAAGCGGGCGCTCGAGCCGTAAAATTTTCCTACTCCCTGGCAGGTATATATAATGTGCGGAGGGAGGAGGGAACCGCGTGAATAATGGTCCAACGCGATGACTGCACTCGGCGTGACAATGAGGTCTCGACTCGATTCTTCCGTCGGTCCCCAATCAAGCCGCACCGCACCGGCGCCGATCCAATCGAACTTTTTCTTCCTCTCCGGCCTTTTGTTTTTCTCCTCCAAAAGGGCCTCACCTACAGCGTACAAAATGATTAGCCATTCACGGGACGAGGAGGCGCTGCCGAGCGTCATTACCGAGTTTGTTGATCGAGCCCCGGGGGCGCGATGAGGTTTTTCCTCGCGGGGTGGGAATTAATTTTTAAGAAAAGCAGAGCTGGACATTGCGAGGTATAACGTAGATACCAGCGTCCAAGGGACACCCCCGGGGGAGCGGAGCGACGGGTATACTGTCAGCCCGGAGAGAGGGAACGAAGTGGTGTTCCACAATGGGTAAGATAGGTACAAGGTATAGCTCCCAGAGACGGCATAACTTTGCACCCATTCCGGCCTACGGAGGACACACAACTCCCCTCTAACTCGGCGGAGTCTCCAGTAGAGAGAGACAGGGATGCAGTTGGGCGAGATGACATTGTCGTCGGTGGTGTGCATCTAGAGAGAGAGAGTGCAAACCTCCTACCTCTGCCGCTTTGCTTTGCGGAAGCTCGGCCCGAGTAATTTCCGCATTGTCGTTAAGTTAATAGGTCCTCGCCCTCGGGTCCTATCTAACCTCCTCCTTCCCGCCTTTACGTACCGCCCTGGGTAGATATCATTGTGTGTGTGTGCGCGCGTACACGTCGCTTGCGGATCGATACGCGAAATGAATGCCGAGAGCCTCTGCGGGGCTGTCTTGTGTTGTACGAGGGTGTCCAATTGTCGTTGTCAGGTGATTGGTCGAGCCAAGAAATGGGGCTGCCGGCACAGATTTTTCTTCCCGAGACGAGGAACGTCACTCGAGGTAGTTTGCTCGGAGCGTATAGTGTATAATGTATAGATATGTATATAGACAGGGTCGAGAGGTGATGCCGGTGGCTTGGGTGGACAGGGTAAGAGAAGGAGTTTGCGGACGAGCGAGGCTCCGTCAGTCGAATATTTAGATTTCACTCAAACTTGAGCTTCGAGGGCGCGGAATCCAATTTTGATGGCGATCGGCAACTTTGATGGCCCGGGAGAGCCTAGCTCCTCCCACTCGCCCACGACCGATGACCATCCCCCTCCCACCTCCCACTAAATTCTCTATTACCATACGCGAGTTTGATTCGATTTCCTTCCCAGAGGCTCCTTTGACATAGTTTTAACCCAATCAAGGTACTTTTTGCGCTGCAGCCTATGTATACTTATGGAATAACCATTTATTGTAATTATTCAATATATCACGACTGTTAACAAAATGTGTGTACGTGTGTTTTTGTTATGTCGATCGACAACAGACTTGCTACGAAATGGAAAGGTACCTGAAAGACGAGCCAAAGCTGCAGTCGTACAAAAAGCTCCCCACGGAGCTCGACTCGACGGCACCGTGGAATTTGTTCAGGGCACCGCAAATCTGGACCGCCAGTACCGCGAGCACGCCCTTCGAATCGCCAATCAAAATCGAGCCCACAATCAAAATGGAGGTAAGCCAAAAAAAAAAAAAAAAAAATATCTGATTTCATCGTAAGTAGTAAAACCGTAGATTCGGTCAGACGGCCGACCGGTGGTTTTTCGAAAAGTATTTGACAACGACGATGCCCCAACAGGTGATGGACGACAGAGAGGCACTTTCGTGTCTGGAGGACGAGCTGAACCTGAGCCCGAGCGACCTGCACCACAGTCACAACGGCCGGGACAGGGATCTGCTCGACCGGCACCTCGACTCGTTGTCCATGTCCTCGGCGAGCTCGGCGTGCTCCGCCCTCTCGTGGGACGGCTCGCCCTCCATGTCCTGCAGGGCGCTCATCATCAAAAAGGAGCCCAGCCTCGACCTCGAGGAGGACGAGGAGCACGAGGTAAGCACCATGACTAGTTCAAGCCTACAGGAGTACCTGTTGGGTTTTATCTTAAAAAAAAAAAAAAAAAAAAAAAAAAAAAAAATAGTTTGCGTTAAATTTGCAGGAGATCGAGGAAGAGGAGGACAGCGGGTGCGAGGGCGAGGGCCAGATACTGACGCCACCCTCGAGTCCGGAGTCGGGCCAGGGCCACTCGAACTCGAGCCACTCGTCGACCGGCAGCTCGATGCTCGACGTTCACAATCTCAACTTACACGGGCCCCACGGCAGGAGCGCCATCGTCAGGGTTACCGCGGCCAACGCGCAGAGCGTAGCGAGGTACGTGCGTCCTTTCCTATTCCCACGCCCCGTACTCGTTAGACCCGACGATTAACCAAAACGGGACGGACCCGCAGGCTGATCTCGGTGACGACGAGCGGCTTCCAAGCGGCCAACGGAGCCTTGGGCCAGGGCTCGGTCGCGGGGACGATGTCGAGCGGGAGCCACGCGGGAGTCAACAGGCACCACGCGAGGAGTCACGAGCACAGTCCGCCCGACACGAAACGCAGGATACACAAGTGCCACTACGACAATTGCAAAAAGGTCTACACCAAAAGCTCCCACCTCAAAGCTCACCAGAGGACGCACACGGGTGAGTGACGCGTTATAGACGTATATGTTTTTTTCATCAACTACCCCACCCACCGCTGCGAAGAGTCGGGTGTCGTATCGACGATTGAATGGAAAACAGCGGCTATTATTTCCCTGCGTAACGAATCCGCAAGATACAGTTAGTTGGGAACGGGGGGAGGAGACAAAAAATAAAACAACGCGGGAAAGAGTCCTTATCGCTGCACGCGTAACGATGCATAATTAATCAAAGGAGAAGCAAGGGTGGAGAGAGGGTTGTTGTTGTTGCCCCAGAGACCCAAAGTGCAGGGGGACTACAACAACTTTCGGCATACCCGTGGTGGTGTATACGCAGTGGCAGTTATCTTGGGTGCGCGTATGGAGGCGCACGCGTGGGGTGGAAAGCTTACAGCGACGGCAAAGGAAGACAAATGCGATATTAATGGCCCCGAGCTGCGAGAATTGGCAGCGAAAAAGAGGTATGGAGGAAGGGAGGAACTGTATCCCCGCCGGGGGGAGCCTCCCAGAGGGCAGGAATTATTCAAAGTCAGATTGTGGTCGGGTCTACGTATGTGTGCGCGTATGCGCGGGGGATGATATTTGTTACGGGGACTCGGCGTTTACCCTCTCCCTTGAGGTACTTGTGTTCGCGTGTTCCTTTGTTTTTTCATTCGTTCGACAGAAACATCTTTATCTTTGATTAAGGAAAAATCAATTATGCTGTGAAAAGTGAGACAAAGCTGCTTATTTGATTCCGAGGGTGGCCAATAGGAATAACTGCGGTTACAGATGCCAACAAACAGATGCCAGAGACAACCAATAAAAGGGACAATGCTTGTTTTTTTCTGTCTGTACATGTAGATGACTTTTTTTTTTTTTTTTTTTTTTTTTTTTTTAATTTTTTTTTTTTTTTTTTTTTTTTTTTTATAGTTAACATTGCTATTTATCAACTTTTTTTTTTCTCGTTAACGCTACGTACTCGTAAGTTTTTCCCAACTGCACTGATGATTAAATATTGAATCATAGATTTTCCCCCATTGTCTTTGCCTGCGACATTCACCCCTGTATTGACACTCACTTTGGCCCATTGTCTCATCTATCAACTGACGCATCTAAAAAGTATTACAGCGGTGGCTGGCGAAATATTCAAAATTAAAAGGACCTTGCAGAACTCGACGACTGCGATCGATGAAACTTATTTTAGTTGCGAAAAAAAAAAAAAAAAAAAAAAAAAAGTAATCTAATCCATAAAAACGGGGATGAATCAAATTTTCCTAGCCGCCCCTTTGCCCTCGATTGTCTCCCAACCCCCCTTTTGACCAAAATTTTTTTTGTTTACGACCCCATTTTATCGCTCAGCCCCGATCTACGAGCCCAACACAACGACCGACCTCTCCGAGCTAAGCTCCGGCTAATTAATTTAGGACACTCGCCACAAATCACATCCCTTCGTCCGCAATATGGCTCGTAGATGCAATCTAATTGTTTGCGAGCGCGCGCATACCGTCGTAAAAAGACTTTGGTAACATCCTCTTATCTCCCTCTTTCTCGGCGAGCGATCAAAAAAGCAATGGGGGCCGAGTAAAGAGAGAGGGAGGGTAGATTGAAAGAAAGTAACGCAGAGCCGGGCTTTGATCTCGAGCGTCTCTCGAATCGAATTTCGGCGGAGCCACGGATTCTCGTCCCTCCTCCCCCCCCCCCCCCTCAGCTGGATCTTTCTTCGGATGAGAGAAAAAGGGCGGAGACCATCCCACCTCCTCCCCCGCCGTTGGGCTTGGGGTCAGCAAGCCGGCAAGCGAAAAGGCTCGTTACGAGTCCAAAGACTTTCTCTCTCTCTCTCTCTCTCTCTCTGTGCGAGTGTGTGCACTCCTCTCGGTACAGTGCATCAGCGCTCCCACGGATCCCTCCTCCTTGTGTTTACCTTGGCGCGAAATCACGGGTATATTGGTCGACGTTGAATTATTCGGGCTGGCCAACTTTTCCCTCATTTTCGATGCTCCGATTCCGTCGAGTACCAAATTCCATCCTTTTTATTTATTTTCTTTTACTTTAATTGGGCACACTATGTACATCGGTCCCTTTGGAACGTTCCGAAATATAATCCTCACATGTATAATGCCCGTCTCTAGTGCACACGGTAGGTATATTCCATCAAGTAGTAATATTAGTACCACCCGCGGCATTAACGCAAAACATGAATACGTTATGTAGATGAATGCGACTTGGCTAGCCGATAGAGCTGCTTGTTAAATGTTAATTGTGAGCCGATCGGTGCATCTGGAACTAGATGCGAAGCCTTTGCCCCCCCGAATTGGAAGGCATGGCCCGATACCACTTTAATGAGCCATCAATAAGCGATCTTTGATCAAGTGTGTACAGCATATTATGTAGTAACGTGGCATCGGACGGTCAATGCGCTTCAAAATGACATGTATATATGATGCTACGGTGCAGAGTTTGTAATGAGGAGATTACATTGGTTGTCGTGGCTGTGTATGTTATACGTACGTGGCTCGTGTAGAAAAATGCCTACTTTCAATTTTTCACGCCAACAGTTCGATCAGGGATACTCCGGAGGGAAAAGTTTTTTCAGGCGTGTAAAAAAATCGATTCGAGTGCATCGCATGTATGAGTCGTGAGACGAGTAAATCTCGATCGAAGGAGTAAGGGAGAGAGCTGTTGTATGGCCGAGATTTTCATTTACCGAGCGTTTTGGTGCACTTTGGCCGCGATGGAAACGACGACTTTGATCCCACGGACGCGAGAGGTCTTTGGTAAACAGCGAGAGCGAGTGCCAAGGAAATAAAAGAAAAAAAGTCCAGGCGATCGCCCGGACGCGAGGAATCGTGTGTATATATGTATACGAACGAACGGAAGGAGGTGAGCAAACAGAGGGTCAGGAGCGTGTTTCGTATGGCCACGTTATTTCCAACGCGTTTGCCCGTCCGAGAGCATCGGTTTTTTTTTTTTTTTTTTCTTCTTCTTTCCCTCCATTCATTCAAGATCCAGCGAGAATTAATTCACGAGGAGAGCGCAAATTGAAAGTAAATATGCTCCTTCCCGTAATTTTTCTCCCGGCCAGCATTATTAGCTCGGCTGTTGATTTTCACTCGTAAATTTCAAGTAGTGGGTGTAAACAACAACAATGGCAAAGGGCATCAATTCTCCCTTGGAAAGGTATATACACGTATACACAAAAGTAGGACTCGGGCAATTGTGCGAAAGTTAGTATAAATAGTTCCCGGCGCGCCGATAAAAAGTTTGCGTTAGTTTGCCGATTGCGAGAAAGAAGGAAGGGGAGGGAGGAAGGTTCGTTTGTTTCGCGAAAACTCGGAACGATGCACCGGTGGTAATGCGATTCGTAAATAATGGCCGGGTGAGAGCTCTCCTCTCTCTCTCTCTCCTTGGAGGTGGGGGGGGGAGGGGCTTTGGGGTGAAAAATACAGAAATAAATAATCGAAGCGGCGGCGGCAACAGCCGAGGCGGAAAATAAACGATTATTATCGCGCGGCGGGACTTTTGTTGGGGTAGCTTGCGAAATCAAAGTACCGATTGTTTATTCAACGCGGCAGCTGATTTTCATTGCTCCGCTCCCCGAGTTTTGAGTTTTGTTAGCTCGGGAGTGGCAACCACTAACCATAAAGCTTCGACGATGCCCGAGTTGTGAAACTCTCCAAGAGACGTCCGATACTTACCACAGAGCTGCTTTTTTTTCATACTCGGCAACGTGTCAATTACATCGAAAGCAAGCCTCGTACAAATCAGAGAGAAACGAAAGACAGCCGCACAAATCCTTTGATCGCACATTCAAAGTCCTCTCTCCATCTAATCAACTCGTACCGTCGTTGGCCAAAACCTGCGGATGAAAAAAAAGGGGGGGGGCGAAGAAGCAGTCTGTGGGAAATCGGTATCGCATCGATGGATCAAAGGCTGTAAGTTAGCCCAAAAAAATTTTAATTTCCCCGGCACAACCCCACTTCTCTTTCGCGGGTCTCCATGGAATCAACAACACTCGGAGGAGCCGACGAAGAAGCACTGCCAGGGAAATTGATCGCGATAAGCAAAGCAAACAACATTGATTTACAGCATCTTCCTCCTCTGGTACGGCCTACACGCGCCTCCACGGTCGCGCCGGCCAAGAAATATCGCGGCGCCCCCCCCCCTGTGCGCGAGAGTCGTCACCTGAATCTTAACAAGTATGGTAATCCCCGGGGAAAAATTCACCTACGCCGGCGCTGTGATGAAAAAAAAGAAGGAGCAAAGTATGCAGAGAAAAATCGGGGCCCGCGTAAATGATATTCCGATCTCGCGTCGGGTCCACGAGTGGGGGGAGAAAATAACGTGTCAGGAGGATGGGGGGAGGGAAGAAACGCGGCCAGGATTTCTTCGCTTTCCCGGCATAAATTCCACGTCTGTCCGTGCGACGCGCGGAGAGTAAAAGACGCGCGCGCGTGCATGTATATTGCGTCGCCGCGGACTTAATAAAATGCAAAGGCGACGAGCAGGGGTTGTTGGCTCTCGAGAGTGGGAAAAATATGCGGCACGACTCTGCTACCGTGCTTAAACATATACAAGGGGGGAGGACACATGTGGTTCTGTTGCTGGAAAAGGTTCAGAATTGCCTCTTGTCACGCGGTGGCGGAAGGTCCTTTGACTTTTTCACGCTGCGAGCTGGGGTTTTGGATTTTCCATGCTCGCTGTAGTTCGTAAATGAAAGCACCTGCACGTACTAACGACTCGTTGGATCGACTGACGAGTAAAAGAAGGAAACAGCCTCATGAAAAATTCATCGGTTCCGTGCGTCCAGATGTGGTGAAGCCACGCGATATACCGTGACGGAAAAGTTTGTGAAATACATCCATACGCATCTCCGAGCGCCGACCCCGTCATATCGGAGGAGAGCGCCGAGAAATGCAGTCGCTGGATGATATTGCTTCGGTCTGTCACTGCGAACGCCGCTTCCTCTGACGGGATTCTCATACGTGCTCCCCCCCTCTCTCTCTCTCTTTTGGAATAAGAATTAGGATTTCGCGGAGGGATTGCCTGTCCGTCCGTCTGTCTTTCGGTGGTACGTGTACGATTGACTTTCGTATCTCGCGCTCGTAAAGTTTCCCCGATCTGTTTTGATTTTTTCCCCGGACGCGACGTGCCCATCTGCTCCCGCAATTCGGATATGTAACGCGCATGGTACCCCTTCGATTTTTCCCCCCGTGCCGAATAAGATTAATTTTTTCATCAATCATCGTGGGGAAATTCACGAGGAGTCTCCTTTGGTACAGCGTTTTCGTCAATAACAAAAAAAATACACCTGCGAGTGCATGAAAGACGACTCATGTATCGCAAAGACTTAACAAAAGCACGCGCGAACGAACAATAATAACGACAACGGGGGTACAAAAGGCATCGCACGACCGCAGTCTGACGCGACGCTGACCAACTCCCCTTACAATTAAGGTACGTGTGTACGTACGAGCAGCGGGTCCGGCCTATACAAGTTGGCACGTGTATATTTTGGTGCATTAAGCCCGTCCTGTTTAACGTGGCTTTCGCTGCTTAGCACCGCGTGTAGCTCCTCGTAACCACCTATTTTTTTTTCCTCCTCAGGCTCGTCCTGTTGCGTTTGAAAATGTCATTGGTTTGGTTTTCGTAATCGACGAAGGATTTGTTTTTTTGCTTCGGATGCAAAACTCAATTAGAAATCCTCGTAGGTATGGGATATTGTAAAAGGAGCAGTGCGCGGAGATATGAAAAAGCTGGTACTCGCAACGCAAAAGAGAGCAGCGCGAGGCGTGAAAAATGAAGGACGGCGCTCGGGTATACGGTTACCCGGGGGCCTCGGGATGCGCGAAATAGGGCGGGCGACGAGATACGAGCGCGTCAAACGAAATTACATCCGAAACTGGCTTCTTCTGCTGCAGGCGTTGAAGAGTAGCTTTTACGCGGCATGGGGAAAGGAAACAAAGTAAAACGAAACAACAACTCGTCCGTGTAGTTTGGAAGAGCGAAATCCAACGGCGCAGCAGAGATAAGGCGAGCCGCGCAGTGGACATTTTTCCATTAGCATGGTAAAAACAAAGGGAAGGACTTTCGTCCTTTTACCTATACCCATAACCGCTCGCTCGGCCATTTTTCTCGTTGGCTGTACTGCCGCGCCGTACACAGTGCGCCAGAGGATTTCTCTCGAGTCGTCTACTGACGAAAAAACAAAAAAGGAAGGAGAAGAGTGAGGATCTTCGCTCGCTCTTCCTTACTTTTTCACGTATGCACGTATGTACTTGCGCCATGTACACGTATAGCTCGGTCGTTGCATTTCCAACGTCGGGGAGATCGCCGCGTGCCCGGAATTTAGGCCGTTCATCCTGCCGGCGTGGATTTGGTTATGCGCCGCCACGCGTCCCTCGGATTTGTCGGCGTCGCGAAAAGACGCTTCTCCCGCGCGCAGTGGGTGTGTATGGCGTTCCTTCGCGTGTGTTTTTCGGAGCGTCGCGAAACAATTTCCAGATCGACGCTGACAAAGGGCCGAGGGAGGAGGAGGAGGAGGGCTCGGAATTTCGGTGCTCCCGTGACGTTGCCGGGGGCAGAAAAATAAACAGCGCACCCGTGAATAATTCGGCCCGCTGCCTGCAGCTGATAAATCGACGAGATACGCGCCCTTTCCCGTGCGAGAGGCAGACGGATTCTTTCCTCCTGCCTGGCGTCTTTAATCGCTGAGTTTTGTGTTTGCCCAACAAATGGAATGGAAATTTTTCAGCTGGATTGTTTGCCGCGCGCAAACTCCTCCACCTCCCTCCCTGCAGCTGATGCTGCTTCGTGGCAAAAAAAAAAAAAAAAAAAACGTGCAAGGAGAGCGAGATAAAAAAAAATTCAACCCTAAAAACGCGTGGTCCCTAAACTCCCCGGAGATTCCATCAAGTTTTTTCAAAGGGTACGCTAAATAGGCACGTGCGATGCACGCTATCTCGTGGTTTCGATTAATGGGTCGATCAATATGGAAAGCTCTTCGATACGCGATCGTTTCTGGACTTAATTGCCGCCTTACTTGCTCAGAGGGTGGTGTGGGACGAAAATGAAATGTACAGGATTTCTTATACGATTATTCTAAAAATGATGATTTACCATCACTCAACGTGTGTCCAGCAGTTGTAACTGGACTTTGATACACGTAATATCAGTATCCAAAGTCACCTCCTACTTCCTAAGCCGTAAAGCCATGCTCGGAGTTAGTACCATATTGCAACCCAATCAATTCGAGGCAGAGCTGATTGTCCAGTAATTTCGGATGCAGGTGCATTAATTCCATCGCACATCATCGGTAGACGAGTCCCGATCGGATACGTCAAACGTCCAATACCCGAGGTGGAGATCAAGATGGAAAGTAAAAAAAAAAAAACGGGGAGGTATTGTGTTCGAAGTGTATACAGATGAACCCGTGTAATGGAGACCGAGACGACGTCGCGTGTTCCAACCACTCGGCGGTCCGACGACGGGGTGCATATACAGAAGCCAATCTCGTGCTCGGGCTAACCGCGCGTTTGTTATTACGCGCGAGGCTGGTCGGGATAGATGGATGAGCGATACGCGCGGCTGCGGCCCCGTGCTTCATTAGAACACGCGAGAGAGGAAATCGAGCCGTTGCATACGTCCGTAGAAAGGAGGAAGGGAGGCTCGAGCTCCCTCGGCTTGTTAAGCGCGCAGTAATGTCGCGCCACAGGTGGTAACCCCGTATTGTCTCTTTCTCTCCCTTGCACCGCGAGGAGAAGGAGAGGAGGGCACGGCCTCGTCAACGTCAACTGGGCTGTGCTTGCCTACATACCGTCGAAATGGATTATTTACGGCTCGATAGGGCCACTGCCGCCGAGTTTACGTAGAACCATGTATTCTACTCATCCTTACCTCCTCTGTCTGCGACTGAATTTTTTAACGTTGATGATTGGTGTTTTTGCATTGTATACCCGCGTTGACCGAAGACAAAATGAAAACGACAATCTCACCCGTTACAAGTGAAACATCGAAACTAAATTATCGGTGGATACTTTTTTCTGATCATTAGCTTACAAAAAGTCCACTTGTGTGTTTAACATACCAAAACATACAAATTTTTTAGTCAAATTTGCGGAAAAAATAAACTCCGAGCGAATGGAAATAGAAATCTTATTTTCGTTCCCCAAAAGTAGGTGTAAAAAAAAAGAAAAAAAAAACAACTCATTTTATGCTTAGTGTACTGTATCTGTATAAATAGGCACACGGATGTCGAGTATAGATACTCGTACCAATGGGGCCCATATATACGTGTCCACGAGGATTAATGAAGCTCTTCACATCCTCGGCAATCATCAATTAAACGCACAATAGGAGTACGGATGCAACGGTAATACCCTCCAATTATCGCATCATAATGTAGTGTTGACCGTACAGTGCCGTTTCGCGTTTCCGAGCACCGGTTAATTCCCATGAAAAATAATAACGCTGATCCCCCCGACTCTCCTCGTACTACTTCGCAACGAAATGGCCCATAGTACCCCATACCTACATGCAAAATAATTGAATATCAGCATCCGAAAAAAATGTAATGCTAAACGGGTCGTTTTGTTTGTTTGTTCACAGGTGAAAAGCCGTACAAGTGCAGCTGGGAGGGCTGCGAGTGGCGATTCGCCCGTTCGGACGAGCTCACGCGCCATTACCGCAAACACACGGGCGCCAAGCCGTTCAAGTGCAAGCAGTGCGACCGTTGTTTCTCGCGCAGTGACCATCTCGCCCTCCACATGAAGAGACACGTCTGAAAGGCCTCCCACTCCTGATGTCGGCGGCGTCGCCGTCGTCTTGGCCTTTGTTTCGCGACGCGTCGCCCCGACACCCCGACATGACGTGCCACGGCTACAGCAGCTAAGCAGCAGCCGCGTACCACCCTCCGACCCCGCAAATGATAAAACTCAATCGCAACGCAACAAGAAGCAACTCTCGCCGATCCGCCCCGCCGAAAAAAACCTCCCGCCGCGCGATCACGCTCCCCCGAAGAGGCGCATCGGGGTAGGTCGCGGGTAAACTTGTATACGTCCCCCCACCCCCTTCTCGTAAAATTACTGCGTCGTGCGGACACTTGCCGCTCGCCGTCGTCAATCAAAGCTGCTGGTTCGGTTTTTGATGCAGCAGAGGAGAAACGAAGGAGCGTCTGGTTATTTTTTGTTTCCTCCTTTTATTCCCCGATCGGACGTTCCTTCCGAGACGGTCGACGGTGAGTGTCGGTGCGCGTGGATGATCACTGCCAATGGTCGAAGCGCGAGCCCGTCGTCTACTGTTGCACGGGACGCCTCCAAGGCCCTTTTGGAGCTCACGGGGCCGTGGCTTAGTATACGAAATGTTGAACAAAAGTACCTAGGGCATCGGAGGTCTATATGATGAATTCGTTGATTTTGACACTTGGAGGCGCTTGGAGTTCCGTTTTCGTTCCTCATTGTTTCGTTGTTTTTCATTTATTCATCCCTTCGCGAGAGGGAAAAGTATAAGTAATAGTGACTGTTTGATGTGTACCGAGGATAGTTGCAGCGCTACCGATTCCATGTGGATGTACAGTTACCAAAGCGGAATTCCAAGTAGGGATTGAAAAAACCCCCCTTTGCAAAGGTACAGGGAGAGAGAATACTATTAGCCGTTGAATAAATTGGTTGGTTCGACGCGAGAGGGGCGCCGTGGAGGTGAGCTCGTTGAATTCGCTCGACGCGCCTGGGCCCTGTTGAGAAAGAGAGTCCCAAAAGGGTCTGGAGGGATCTCGTTTCCGGAGCGAGGCCGGATCGCTGCGCACTTGCGTGCGTAAAAACTAACTCGCGCACAACTCGCGCGTGTACACAGCACAGATATGATAAGAGTAACGAGAATGGACTGGGAAGTTCGCAGAACTTTTTTTCTTTTTTATACTACGAAAGAGAAAAGAATCCCACACACCCTTTCACGCGGAGATAACAAGACAAAGAGAGTAGAGGCGCGTTTAATGAAAAAAAAATAATAACAATAATAGTAGAGTCGACTAAAAAAAAAAGGGGTGGGGGTAATTTTTCTATTGTTCTTTTACACGTAGACACGGGGTTGGGGATTGATATCGTAATACGTCGCCAAACCCGCGCGCAAAGCGTAAACGCACACTCTGTACGCGTGTACACAATCATTCGACGGAAAAAAAAAGGGACGGACGGTAGACTCGTGGGTTCGTTCAACGACAATGGAAAGCAACTTTTGAAAGTTCGTCCGAGCTGGGTGCCAAATGTCGCGTTGTTTAAGCGCTTTTTTTCGTGCTCGCGTTTGTTTATCGCCTGAAAGCGTGTCGTTCGCTGGATCGAGGGGGATTAGAAAAATTTAAAGGGACAGCACGCTTTGGCCGGCGGGAACCGGTAAACGAGCCGAGCTTTTAGCTCGAATATCGCAGTGGCATATCGATATCCCGGTGACCGTGTGGTTCGCGCTGTGCTTTCATTTTGCTGACGAAAGCATTTTTACTCTGCACGCGATTGATTGTTGAGTTTTTTTTTTTTTTTTTTTTTTTTNGGAACTTCGGTGGAAGAAAAAGAGAAGGTTTTAATCGCGGGACGACTGATTGGCCGATTTGTCGAGTTTTTTTTTTTTTTTTTTTTTTTTTTTCACAATGCCCATATATTTTCTCATGATGAAAACAAAATGAGACACAAGTTTTATGTGTCAAAAAGTAACTATTGATTTTAAGGATTAAAAATCAAGTCTCCTATCTTTTTTTACGATTTTTTTCGCAACTATTCAATAGCCTTTGCCATGTTTTACTCGTAATATTTTTATCGAACTCGAACATTTTTTTGTATCTATTCTTACAAATGCGTATATTTAAAAAAAAAAAATTTATCATGTATATTAAGCGTCATCCGGCACACAAAAGGCATGTATGGACAAAGCGTGCTTCGGAAAAAAAGCTGCCGTGAATTCAGTATTACGCGAAAGGGCTTCTCGTCGTCCTGTTTTGACAGAGTTAAGCAGGCACAAGCACAAAATTCATCTGTACGTGCATATGTAAATGTTGCCCGTGAGTTTTTCAGCTGCTGTATAATACATACATGTTCGTATTTGTTTAAACTAAAACTTTGTTTTTAAGTAAATCATAAGTGGCTCAACTAATCGTGGTAGTTCGTTGTGTAATATTATTTTGCTTTTCGAATTTTTATCATGCCATCGTTACAAATTATTAATCTGTGAATAAATTATCAAAACGTATTTTGAAACAATCATTAAGTGCATAAAATCATTAATTACACTATTCAGAAATCTCATATTGATTCGTGAATGAGCGTCAGGCCTACACAGTGGCTCTAAGCACGATACAACAAATTGTCCAACCAAACGGATAAATAAACATTTTGAAAATAAACGGAAAAATCTGAAGTAAGATAGGCTGCAAAGCAACAACAATTTTGTGATGGCATGCACATTTATTCGATTCTATCAAGCTAATTATCTGCTGTCTGCGAAGCACAAACATTAATTTGCAATCGCCATAAAAAACAAGGGTAAGACAAACGAGGTTGAAAGGCACACGATTACAAGCACATATGCGAGACAGTATTGTTCTAGTACTAAAGTACGTAAGTTCAATAGCTAATACATCGTTTAAGCCTTGATTTTCAAGCAAGAGATTGAAAATTGAATAAAAGTCGTCGTCTTACCGCGAAATCAGAAGGTAAAATATGATACTTTGAAGAGTCGTGCGCGAGCGACATCATTTTTATTACATTAAGTATAATACGAAGTCACCTACCTATGCGACATTCAAAGATAAAATAGATAATGCAGAAATTTAATAAAAAGTAAAAGTAATTTATGTATGGATAATATAAATATATATATTTAAGCGTCAGAGTCACGAGACATTGAGATAAACTTATAAATATAGCGATGCCCGATTTACGCGGGACGATCGACTAATCTTCCAACCCAAATCGAGTCAGTCTTACACGTATAGTCACTCCAATTAAAAAGCCATCGACAACAAATGAAAGAGGTAAAAATTCATAAAGATACGTACACACGAACACACCGATTTCATAGTAGGCTAGTGTTTTTAGGAATTTTATACAGGCATGCAACAAAGATTTAGGAAAAAAATAAATATTACAAGAAATAGTATGAAAAAAAAAAAAAAAAAAAAACATCAACAACAAATGTTTATAAATATAATTGATAAGACAGAAGTAAATGGCAGATCCAAAAGCGCATCTATAATATGTTCTTAGCCGGCGTCAAAGATTTAAGTATATAATAGAGCCACGATTCACTTTTACAGAGTTTAAGAATAAAATAATGATAATAAATAATACGATTGTTCAACTTTTCGTTCGGAGGATCATCGCGACCGCGACGATTTTTCGATCACGACGACTATGACGACTCGATTATTATTATTAATGCGCGAACAAAGATGAAAATAAGTAAACAAATAGATAAATGAGAAAGAAAATTAAACATAAACAAATAAATGACTAAGATATAAATAAATTAAAAGTTGATTAAAAAAAGAAAGAAAAAAAAAAGAAAAAAAGCATACAAAAAAATAGGAGTGCGTGTCTAACACGGCAGAGATAGATTCATTTTTTCATTTTTCACATTTCGGAATGAGTGCAACGGCGGATTATACATAAATATTATACATGCAATTTTACGGATCGATTGGCAGCCGTCTTCGTGATAAAATAAGCGTTTAAAAGAAAGAATTTAACAAATAGAGTTCACACCTATACCCGAAGACGTCGATCTGAAAGAAAAATCCAAATGTATGCAAAAAGAGGAGAGAACTAATGGAAAATAAAGACTTTTTCGTGCGAAAAAGCCTAAAAACACACTCACCAGGTGCATAAAATAACACTAAGAGTTGTTCTTCATACGTGGTTTTCGCGCCATCCCAATCAAAGTCGAGAGGGTCATAAAAGCAAGCACTGCAGAGATACAAAGAATTAAATAAACACAAGAGAAATTACATACCTCGTTGTATAAACATCATCTATTTGTATAGTTGTTAATATTACTGCCGCGCCGTACACA